TGGAACTGTGCTATGAAGAGAGATCAGGCAAACCGGGCCTGTATTCTCTTGATGCTTTGATGAATGAGACATGATCTCATTGAAACTTACAAAATACTTAGACAGGGTTGATACAGTTAGGGTGTTTCTGTCAGATGGGGAGTCTTGAATTGGGGACACAATTTAGAAATAAGGGGTATGCCTCTTAGGTTTGAAATGAGGAGAAAAGCTTTTACTCAGAGGAGGTTGTGAATCTTTGGAATTATCTACCTTTATAAGATTTTAGAATCTCAATCTTTGAGTATGTTTAATGTAGAGATTGCATGCTTCTGGTAATCAGCAATCAGAGTTATGGAACAGGATGGATCAAAGATATTGAAATGTTCGATCAGCCATGATTGCATTGAATAGCAAGAAAACTCAATGGGCTGAATAGCCTCCTTGTGTTCCTATGTATTTAGTCCAGTGAATATGGAGCTGGAAGGAGCTGGAATACATGTTCAACGATTATAGAGCATGGAGCACACATTAATCCAGTGATTCTGGAAAGTGGGATATGGGTTTAGTCCAGTGATAATGGGGCACAGGATACAATTTAGTCCAGTGATTATGGGGTGTTGGATACAGTTTTAGTCCAGTGATCATGGAATATATTGCGAGGGTTTACGTTGCCAGTCTGTTTTGTGTTGATTGCAATGCAGTTATGACTGGGGAATATTCTGTATATTCAAAAGCAAATTAAAATGATAAGTTTTACTCGGGATACATATTGAAATGAATCCATTTCTGCTCCAGTGCGTTTGCCTAAGTGAAATTCTATATCTATCTTCAGTCCCTAAGGCTTCACTACATTTCTCTGCTGGTGGTGCGTTGCTCATATTTGTAAAATGATATTAAGTACAATTTCAAACACAAAATGCAAGTTTTCTGAAGATGCATTCTTGAGCACATTGGCTGGGAAACTCCCTGAAGTGACTACTGCATTATGTTTGCTAAACAGACTCCTGTTGAGATCACTGCTGGTTCACCACAGGCACCACTTGCAATCAACAGTTTGTACAAAGAATTAACACAATTGCTGCAGTACATCACAGAAAATTCCAGCACCTTTTTCCAAAACAGGTTATGGCCATGCTTCATGGTGGAAACCTAGCCCAAACACCCTTGCCAAATTTTCTATTTCTGTTTTCTTAGTTCACTATAAACTGCACAGACAAATGTAAAAGATCCAGCACCTTTCTTAGTCGTGAATTACTTCCTTGTGATGTTCACTGAACAGATACAGTGAAAGGAGGCCATTCTGCCTATACTGTCTGTATCAGCTCACTAAGAGCATTTGCCCCAGATCTATTAAGCTGATTTTACTGCATTGACCTGTTGATTTTCTTCTGTTGGGATAATGACTCAGTTCACTTTTCAAAGTCCCAATTGAATCTGCCTCTACCACATTTTAAGGCAGTGCTTTTCAGATCCTAACGATTAACAACATAAAGTTTTACCTCGCTGTTGTTGCTTCTATTGCCAAACCTCTTTAATCTGTATATACTGGTTCTCAATCCCTCCACCAATGGGTACAGTTTCTCCTTGTCCTGTCCAGATACCTCATGATTTTGAATACCTCTATTAAAACTATTCCGTACCTTTCCTTCTCCAAAAATGGCCCCATGACTCAAGTTCCCCACACCTGGAACTACTCTCAAGAAACTTATCTCTACCCTCACTGATACCTTCATATCCTTGCTGAAGAATGGCACCCAGAACAGGACACAACACCCCAGTTGAAGCTGAGTCAATGTTTTATAACACAACTTCCTTGTTTCTGTACTCTATGCCCTTATTTATATAAATGCAGAATCCATATGCCTTTTGAGCCAGTTTCTCAACCTGCTCTGCTGCTTTCAGTGATTTGTGTACATCTATCCAAAGTCCATCTACTTCAGCACTCCTTTTGGAATTGTTCCATTGCCTGTCTTTGTTCTTCCTACTGAGTTGAATCATTGCTCACTTCTCTGTATTAAAATTCATCTCTCACTTGTCTACTCATTCCATTGAGCTGTCTATGCTCTGTTAAAGATTAACAATGTCCTCCATTTGGTTCATAGTACTTATAAGTTCTGCATATTTGAAAAGTTTTAATTTGTTCCCAAAAATGAAAACCTAGATCATTATTTTACATCAAGGAGGGGATCTAATACTGATCCCCAAGGGATTCCTACTGTAAACCTTCCTCCAATCCAAAAAACCAACATTCACTATTACTCCGGAGTAGATGCCAGGTATATTTATGTTGTAATGGAGCACTAAATCAGGTGAACAATTATGTGATGGTAATGTTACTGGGCTAGTAATCCAGAGGCCCAGACTAATTCTCTGGAGACAAGTGGGAGTGAATTTAAACTTACTTAATAAATTCCTGACCAAAAAAGCTCTTGCCTGAATAATAATAATCAAGAAACTAGCAGATGCTTGTGAAACACATCTGGTTCATTAATGCCCTTTAGAAAAGGAAATCTACCATCTTTACCTGCTTTGACTTCATACGCAAAGCATTATGGTTGACTCTTAACTGCTGTTTGAAATGATCTAACTAGCCATTCAGTTGTGGTAAACCACTATAGGATCAAGTATTGTGGTTGGACCATATGAACTGCAGTTGTTCAGGAATGCAACTTGCCACCATCACCTCAAAATCTTTCAGGAGTAATCCTTGCTACGGAAGCTCCATTCTAAGACTGATTTTTTTTTTTAAAAAAAAACCTTCTGTTCATTGTAATGCTCCATGCAAGTGTATACACTTCCACAGAACATTGGCCCCAAACTGCAGTCATCTTTAGTTAGTAAGGGATGAAGTGTTGTTTATGATTAATTATAGTTCAGGAACATTGGAACAGGAGGACATCATTCACCTGTCTGAGTCTACTTCATCATTTAGTTACTTGATTTTCACCTCCACTTCATTTATGCACTTTGTTTCCATGTCCCTCGATACCCTCACCCAACAAAATTCTGTTGAGCTCAGCTTCGAAGGCCACAATTTCCCCAGCATCCAAACCTTTTGGTGGAGGAGAATTACAGACTTCTATTTCCCTATGTGAAGAAGTGTTTCCTGACAACCCTCTAATTTTAAGGTAATGCCCCCCTAATACTTTACCTTCCCATCAGAGGTTGTCTGAATCTAATCCAATCAAATACTTTTAATGTTCTAAACACTGATCAGGTTGTAGCTGAATCATCTTTACTCAATGAAGCCTGATCTCGTACTTTAACTATTTTAGCTTTGATTTCAAATGCCACTGTATCCTTCCTGAAGTGCAGTGCCCAGAATTGAACAATAGCCCATGAACTATCATTTTCTTTACATGGTGAGTTATTACAATCTTGAATCAACTCCTCAAAGGTCTGTTCAGTAATTTTCAGAAGGGAATTGGACAATACTTGAAGGGGATAATGTTTGTTGGGCAATGGAAAAGAGGAGGGAGTTAGGCCAAATGGATAGCTCTACCAAAGGACTAGCGCAGGTATGATGAGCCAATGGCCTCGTTCTGTTTTTTTAATTATTCTACCATTCTATACAGGCAGTGACATTGTATGCCATAAATTGTTGTTGGTGTTCTTAATTTTAAAAAGAATTTGCTTGAGAAACTATATATAATGATGTGAAGAAGGAGATGATATGGAGGACCAAACTTTTCTGGCAGGAAGAATGGGAGAAAGAGGACTGAATCATACACCACAGAAAGAAGCCATTCAACCCATTGTGCCTATAACCCTTCTTTGAATACCCCCTCCTCAGCCCTACGGGTGATTTTTACTTTTCAAGAATGCATTGAATTCCTTTTTGGTGATATTTTAGATGATTATAATTTGGCTTGTAAGAAAATTCGATGAACAGCTCAGTCTGATTTTAAGCTGCCTTTTATAACTCTAGAATTCTTTGTGCAGAAGTATTAGCATGTACTATTCTCTTAAAAGATTCATATTGAGTTATTGAACTATATGGATGAATACAGTGCAGAGGAGACTGTTTGGCCCTATGTGGCAATATTGGCTGTATGCCAGTGCATTCTGAACCATTCCCATTGTCCTACACTCCCCATAGCCCTTCCCTTTGAAAGATGCAGAATATTTCCTTCAGCCACTCTCGGTGGGAAAGTATCCCATGCTCCAACACCCCTATCTGTGTAAAGAAATATCTCCATTCTTACTCCTTTCAAACAGTCCAGAGCACAGAGGAAGCTATTTGGCCCATCAAGTTTTATGGTTTTCATGGACCTGACCGTTCGAATTTTAGTGCCAATTTTAAATCCATGGCTTTTTATCCCATTGCCAAATAGAGGAAGCAATTTTTCTGTATACAGGGTATGAAAAGTCTTTATAAGACCATAAAGTTAGGAGCAGAATTAGGCTATTCCGCCCATCGAGTCTGCACCGCCATTTGATCATGACCGATTTGTTTCTCAAGGTATGTTTCTTTTATGGAAAAATCTCTTGACCTTAGCTATTCTGATGAAAACAGCATCAGAACCCTGGCTTCCTAACTTCAGTCTCCCACCCTTGGGATCATTCTGGTGAATCTCAATTGAAGCTTAATGCTATCTATAGAGGAGCCACAAATCTGTTCACAATACTGGAACTATGGCTTAAATAAAGCTCTTGTATAAATTTATCACTATTTCTTCTCCTCTGTTTGCCTGATGTCCCAATTTTATAGAATAATGACAGCTTGGGTCACTATTTGTTGAACCCCATTCCTTCATTTTCTTCCTAAGACACATTAGTGAACACTTCACCCATATTTAACTGTATCTGCTGCCAGTTTGCCTATTCCTGAAGCCTAGTAGTGGCAGTACCATTTCTTTTGCAGGAAAAGCAACTTGGAAAGTCAAAAGAACCTCTAAATTTTAGCAAATCTGTGCTCTCCTTTTAAATAAATATATTGTGTTTTGTTTAAAGCGTTAACTGTTATGTGATGTGCAGTTCTGATATTCACCAGTTTTTTTCTTTGTCTTCTGAAACTGTAGAAGGAAAGATTATGCCTGAGTTGCCATTGACCAATAATGATTACACCTTTGAACTTTTCATCTGTGCCGCAATCTTGCTAGAGAAAAAGGAACTGCTACTAAAATGCTCAGATGAAGTGGAACTCATCCAGTTTACTAACAGGTGAACATACTGTTGCTGTTCATCACTTGCTGTTCTCAATTCACCAAGGACAATAGATTGGCTTTGCCTGAATTTAGTGTGTAGCATTCAGATTTAAATGTCATACAGCAGTCTGTCTTTAAGCACATTGTGTTGTACCCGCTCGATGTGGCCAGTGCTGCTGCCTGAGGGTCTGTTGCCCCATGGGAAATTTCCCTGAGCAATAGTTAATTGGCCTCTAACTCCAGGGTCTTTCAAATAGGGTAACGGGAGATCACATTCCAATCTTAATCAGTTGAGATATTTTCACCTTAACAGGACCGGTTTTGTTGAAAGCAGCCCCACTTTCAGTCAGCTTTCCTGAAGGCAATTTCTTGCTTGCTCTTACCAAAATATAAACGCACCCCTCATTATTGCATGCTTTACACATCTGACATTGTTTATTGATTTCTTATTTGGGTCTGGGTGATTCCAGCAAGCATTTATTGCCCTGGGAAGACAGTAGTGGAGGGAGTGGAACTTAATCACTGGAACCCAGTGGTGAGAGGTGGGCACTTTCAGGATATTGACAGAGTGATAATGAAATAAAGTAGGGAATGGAAGCACATTGGCCATGTTACTGGGTGAGTAATCTGGAAGCCCAGAGTAATGCTTCAAAGATATGAGATCAAATCCTGCCATGGGAGAACTGGGAGAATTTAAATTCAATTAATAAATCTAGAATAAAATGCTGGTTTGAAATGACCTAGTAAGCCATTTAGTTTTAGGACAGCTCCAGGGCAGTTCCGGATGGGCATTAAATGCCAGCCTTGACAATGTTTTGGTTTGAGTCCAGTAGAAGTAGCACTGACCGAGCAACAGCTCTGCTCAGGGCGGAGTTAAGTTTTTCAGATGTTGATGTTGTTCGCGTCCATACATATTCTGACTTGAGCCTTGAAAATGGTGGAGAGCTCAGGGGAGGAATCGGAAGGTGAGGCACAGGTCACAGAATACCCTGACACTGCTGTGACTACAGGGTTGAAAGGGCAGTTCTAGTTCAGTGTCTGATCTTTGAAGCTCCTCCATCATTGAGGTGTTAACAGTCTGGTCACAGTCACATTGATGTGTTTGGCCAAGTAAAAGTGGCTTGGCTTTCTCTTGTTGGGATTAGTCATTACCTCATACTTGTCAGCTCCAGTCTTGGTGTGATTCAGCTGTGAATGGAGCTGGAAAATCATCAGCGAAAATTTGAACTTCTGACTTTTTAATAGAGGGTTGATCAATGATGAAGCAGCTGACCTTGGTTTGACCTCGGTCACCACCTTGATGTAGTCTTGTAGTGATGTCCTGGGGTTGGGATGATTGTCCTCAAATAACCACAACCATCTCCCTTTGTGCTAGGTATGACACTACCTGTTTGGGAAAGAGGCTTCAGGCACCTTTTTAGAAAGGATCATGATACTTGGAGCATAGATTCATGCAAAGGGGTAGGAGGAAGAAAAGAATAGATGGATACAGTTAGTGGTGAAATAAATTGGGGTGGGGCAAGGTTACTGCACGTTATACTTCTGATAGCCAGTTGGAGAAAGAAGATACTAGAAGTAGTCATTGCTTGGAATGGATTTATTCATGGAAATTAAAATTACAGGTCCTTATCTCCTAACTCCACTCCTCTCTCAGTAAGTTACTGTTTAAATGCTCATTTGCTCAGTATCCTCCACCTTAACTTCAGTTGATGTGGTTAATGGTGTAGAGCAGGAACATATAGACACCGCTGGGGCTGAATGGTCTGTTTTGTTCTATGCATCCTATATAAAGGGATGATCTCAGGACAGACCCACATCTCGCCTGCACCGGCTGCTGTCTCTTGGAGAACCCCGGAGTACAGGGAAAGATGTAGTGTGAGGAATAGAACAGGATGCTCACTGAGGAATCCCTGGCTCTGTATTTCTGATGTTACAACTGACAGGAGAATGAAAACATTAATTCCTCTAGTCATAAATTCCTTTCCTGAACTTTACTCATTAGGAGTCAATATCAGGTTCCATGGAAGTGTTCCTGACTCTTGATGAAAAGGCGCCGGGTTCAGGCTCTGCATCAGGTTGTCCCAGCAGATGGAAACTTGACTGGATTTTGGGTCTCCATCTGTCAGGATACTGCTGCCTGATGGGTATAGCTGGCTCCCAGTTTGCCATTTTGTTGATTTGTAAACCAGTCTGCATGTATTACTGAACTCCTTGTTCAATGGGTATCAGGCTACATGTAGAAGGAATTTTCACATCAGGATCTGTTAGCCTGTCAGTCAGACTATAAATTTCTACTGTTCATGAGAGAAAAGGTCTGGGGATATGAAGACAACATTAACAATTTATTCGATTCCTGGGGCCAGTATGTCCCTAAAGCTGTTCTTGGTTTCAAGAATTTGTGGTCCGATTTCCAAATTAACAATCAAGGTTGTTTTAAATTCTACCATCAATCCCATTCTCAAACTTAATAAGATCAGCATTGGATCCGACAGGATCAAGAAGATTGATGAGTTTGCCACAGAAGCAGCTGTTTATACCAGCTGGCCACTTCCTGAGAGATAGCTTGGTTCATATAATGATACTGCATTTCTATGTTTATTCTGTTACACCACACTTCTTGTACCTTCAGCTTGCAGGGGGCGCTCAACTTGGACCGTGTTCTTGAAAGAGCAGAGCAAGCATTCTTCAACTACTGCAATAAATCTGTGCTGGACTGTTTCAAGAAACTCTGTACAGAACAGAAGAAAAAGAGCTTCTTTAAGTTTAAGCTGATGGATTTGTTTTCCTGACAGCCAAAGTTCACCGAGTACTTCAAGGTTATGACCAGCAAGGAGAAGTATTTCCCTGCAATTCAGGACTCAAATCCCAAATTTGCAAAGGCAGTCTCCAAAAATAAATATGCCTTTGCAGGAACCTTTTGATGTTTACATTGTATTTTTAAGCTTAGTTGGTTGATTGATCAGTCTTATCACTGAGGTCCCAGCTACAAAAGTCTTGCATTTAAGAGCACATGATTTTATTTTCCCTTGGGTTTGGTCCTTTGCTGTGCTCAGCAATTTTCCTTCAATAACAAGATGCACAAGATTGGATAATGTTGGTCCTACTGAGACTTCTCAAGTTAGGCATGACCACTTCTTGTCATGAGGTGATTGTCTGTCACCATTAAAGTTCCTCAGCTCAGTGCTTTCCTACAACATAGCTGAGACTGGGAGTGTATTGTGACAAGAACCCCGGCTAGGAACTGCCATTCTACCACTTGGTCTGTTAGTTCTTTAATAAATTAACTGGCCCTGTACTGATATAAATGGTTCATAAACTGCATTTAGGCCCTACCAGAGATACTTCAGCGGGCTGTAAAGAATCTGCATTTCTGAAACATTTCACTTCACTTTAAAATTTTTGCATTGGGGAAAAAATCTTGAATAGATCTTTCATAATTGTTACTAAATAATGTTAAATAAAATGTGATCCTGGTATTGACCTTTCTTTCATTGAAGTCCATTAAAATTTAGTAAGATTTCGTATGATGTATTGAAACTCTTCTGTTAAGCATTGAACACTGAACACTGCCCACATAATTATACAGAAGGGCTCAATTTCATTGAAAATACTTGAATTCATTTTGTGCCCTTTAGGATTCTCCAAAGTCCTCTCCTGCCCATTGATCCAGGCAGTTTTTAAAGCAGTGTGTTCACAGCAAGCTCCCACAGCAACAGTGAGATTAATAACCAAATCAGTTCTCTGGAGTTGTTTGAGGTTTTATTATTAACTGGGACACCAGGGAGAATTGAAAGACACCACCTGTGACAGCGCAGCACTTCCTCAGAAAACCATAGATGGAGTAACTGACCATTACGGAGTCTGGGACACTGCCCTGAAGAACATTGTGATGTGGGAAGATTGTTGTCCAGCAACTGGAACCGTCTTCCTTTGTACCAGGTGACTTTAACTGTTTAAAAAGACAGTTTTGATTAGGAAAAGAAAAGCACTTTCAGCTCTGACTTGTTGATTAAAATTCCTTTCAAAAAGAGTCCACCATTTATTAGGAACAAACCTGTGGCTCACTGCCTCTTAGTTGTTGAGTGCAGTATCTGAATCCTGTTTTCACAGACTCCAGCTTAGTTTGAAGGTGCATCCTTTCTCCTCGAAATACTACGGTATAATATTTGATAGCTCCCAAACCAAGTAGGAGCAGAATCCGATTCTAGTTAACTGAAATCCAATTTCTTCTCCTCAATATCATAAATATTCCATCACCTGAAGTGCAACTCATTATTTTCTTTCCTATCTGGAGCACACTCAGACCTGCAAATTATCACTATGTAGCCTCTTTCTTTAGCTAAGTTTCACTAACTTTGTTCATACGTGTTAGTTCACTAATTACAGTTGCTTGGAAATCTACCATTTCATATTTTGCATGTGCGGTACATTTCTCAGTGCACAGAATTCCCAGAACTGTTATAGTATGGCGCTGATTCTTGGAGCAGTGCTATTCTCGACATCTTGTAGTGACCCTACACATTCTTCCTTTTCAGATAATTAGTACCCTCTTGAAAGCTTTGATTGAACCTGCCTCCACCACACATGCAGGTAGTGCATTTCAGATCTTAACTACTGGCTGCGTAAGTAAGCGTTTCCACGTCTCCATTTTTTTGCCCAGCTACCTTACATCTGTGTGCAAAAAACTGAAAGAACTGCAAATGCTGGAAATCAAAAACTAAAAACAAACTGCTGGAAAAAAAACTCAGAAGGTTTGACAGCATCTGTGGAGAGAAAGCAGAGTTAGCACTTTGGGTCCAGTGACACTTCTTTAGAACTGGACCTAAAACGTTAATCCTTCTTTCTCACCACCTTACACCTGTGCCCTGATTCTTGATCCTTCCACCAATACAAACAGTTTTTCCTTACTATTCTGCCTGGACCCTTAAAGATTTTGAATACCTCTATCAAATCTCTCCTTGACAGCCATTTCAAGGAACAGAGACCCATCTTCCTCAATCTAGCCAGTAACTGAAGTTCCTCATCCCTAAAACCATTCTTTAGAACTGGATACATTCAACCTAAATTTCTTGTTCTTGTTCTCTGTACCCCTGTTAATAAAGCCTTGGATACGGTAAGTTTTATTAACTACATTTCTTGCTGAATTCACATGACTCAGTCATATGGAATATAGAAACAGGCCTGTCTAGTCCAGTCTTGTGTTCTTTGTTCCATACAATCCTCTCCTAACCTACCAGTTTGCTATTCCTTTCTCCATGGTCATTCCAGCTTCCCCTTAAATGAACCTATTTATTGTAATGACCCTCTTGGCAGTGAATTCTAAATTCTCACTGTCTTCTGGGGTGAATAGGATTCTCCTGAATTCATCAATGATTAACTTACAATTGCATCTTTATATTTCTCTGGTATGTATTCAATTACAGCAAAAGATTGTCTAAAAACTTGCTCTGGGCCTAAAGTAATGTAATGCACCCAACTTCATATGAGGCTGGTTAGAAAATATTTAAAAGGCCAAATACCTTTCTTTAAAGGCTGAATCGAATCAGTGCAGGAAGAAGCAAAATACTGCAGATGTTGGAAATCTGAAATAAAAGAAAATGCTACAAATAGTCAGGCAGCATCTGTGGAGAGTTAACAATACGCATCAACCCAAAATATTAACTCTGTTTCTCTCTACAGATATTGCTTAACCTTGAGTATTTCCACTGTTTTCTCTTTTATTTAGGATTATTATCTAACTTGTTTTAAAATAGGAGATATAAATATATATGAATGGGAGAAGGGTTTAAAAAAAGACTATAAAACCAGCATTAATAAAATAAGTTAGTTCACATTTTATTTAAATTGATGTTCACTGTAAAGCTTTTTGTAAAAGTTCCAGTTCCTTCCTTTGTGGTTTGGTAACATTAGTGCAGCCATAGTCCTGTAGTTGAAGGGGAATGTATTTTTCCAGGAGTGGCAGGCTCTGTCCAGCAGGGCTGCTGTACAGCCCGGTCCATGATGGGTTAAATTCCCCCTTGTATCCAAAGAAAGCAATGCTCTCTGTAAACGAATAAAGAATATATTGTCACTCGGGTGGCGTGCTGCAAACATGAATCATTCTGTCCTGCTGAGAAAAGCTGTAAATGTTAACTCAGTACGCTTCGATTGGTCTGCTTTTAACCAACCAACCTTGAAAAATAAACCTGATACTTTTGTTTTTTGCATTTGCTTCAATTGATTTAACCAAATGTGCATAACTGAAACAAGGTGGGAATTGATTCCTTTTTTAAAGATGAGTGCTGGCTTTAAAAACTGTAGAGGTGACCATGATGCCCTTTACATAAGTTAAAGATTTATGAATTAGAACTACATACAACCAAATTAATGAATGTCTAATCAAAACCAAAGGACTCATGCCCGTACATTCATATATGTTGCAACTAGAACATCAAATATACTTCTGTATGATTCTCCTGAAGGCATCATTCTCATCTGAAATGTGTGATTAAAATGCTGAGATTATGTTAACCACTGTTCTGTTTCCCACAGCTGTGGGGTGAGGGCAAAGAAAGATTAGGTTTTTTTATGCAATCCTGGATGAAAGGGCGGTGGAAGTATTTTGAACAGTAACTTTCGTGAGAAGGATAAATTTGTGGAAAAATCTGCAGAGTTTTGGGAGAAAGAGCAGAATGGAGAATGAGACTGAGTGATTGGATAACTGAGTTTGCAGAAGCATAATGGGCTGAATGGCCTTGTGTTGAATGATGCTAATCAGACTAGAAATTTGGGCGCAGCTATAAGAAGGGAATCAATAGCAGCAAAAGTCCTTTTCTTTCTTAAAAAAAAAAGTGAGCCCATTTAACAGCAGAGCTATTCCTGAGCCAACCCATCAGCCATTTCCTGACAGACTTGATAGATGTAAAAACTAATTCTCATGCTACTTAACACCATAGGGTGTTAATAACAGACAGTAGGGAATGCAGACAGGGCAATAATTTAATCAAATGGATTTAAAATTGCATAAAGAATCAACAGCAGCAGATCTCGAGTGGCTTATATCTGCTGTTTAAATGCTTGAATGAGATTACAGCTATGAAATAGTTTGAGTATATCTCGGTCACGTATCCTGTGGAACATTAGACAGTTACTCATTTAGGCTTTATTGTTGGAAAAAAAAAGTGCAGCTGCCCTAAATACTCCACATGCTGTACTCCTTTGTGTCAGTACATGAGAATGTTAGCCTGGTGACAATATTTCCATGTGAAATTTGTGTGCAATTAAAATGGTCTGATTATATATTAAATATTCTGCTTATCCTTCACAGAATTAATGGCACTCTGTCTTTCATAAGACCAAGTACACATCCTAAAAGCCCCAAAGCAATTTTGCATTCAATTTATAACTGCGAATATAGATTGTATTCAACATACAAATTCTGAATATTCAAAGCAACATTAACATGGTTCAGCTGTGCTTTTTACTTTTGAATTTTCATACATTTGAATAAGCTAGTGGAATTCTATTGCTAGCATCTCGAATACCTGCCACCCAACAGTGGCGGTTTTCTTCAGAAACATTAAAAGCTGTTTTGCCAGTATTGCATATTATAGTTATATTGTTTGTTCTGTTGCAAGAATGGTAAGGGGAAGGCATTGAAGTAGAGCACATCATTTAGCCAGAGCTGACCTCTAATGTAATTGGTAGCACACATACATCTGAGTCAGAAGGTCATTTAGATAAATGTGAGGTGCTGCATTTTGGAAAGGCAAATCAGGGCAGGGATTATGTATATAACGTCCTGGGGAGTGTTGCCAAGCAAAGAAACCTTGGGGTGCAGGTTCATAGTTCCTTGAAAGCAGAGTTGCAGGTAGGTGGGGTAGTGAAGAAGGCGGTTGGTATGCTTGTCTTTATTGGTCAGTGCATTGAGTATAGGAGTTGGGAGGTCACATTGCGGCTGTACAGGACAGTGGTTAGGCCACTTGTTGAATACTGCATTCAATTCTGGTCCTTCTGCTATAGGAAAGATGTTGTGAAACTTGAAAGGGTTCAGAAAAGATTTACAAGGATGTTGCTAGGGTTTGAGTAATAGGAAGAGGCTGATTAGGCTGGGGCTATTTTCCCTGGAGCATCAGAAGCTGAGGGGTGGCCTTATATAAGTTTATAAAATCATGAATATTATGGATAGGGTGATTAGTCATAGTCTTTTCCATAGGGTGGGGGAGTCAAAAGCTAGAGGGCATAGGTTTAAGTTTAGAGGGGAAAGACTTAAAAGGGACCTAAGGGGCCTTTCTCACAGAGGGTACTGCGTGTATGAAATGAGCTGCCAGAGCAAGTGGTGGAGGCTGGTACAATTACAGCATTTAAAGGGCATCTGGATGGGTATATCAATAGCAAGGGTTGAGAGGGATATGGGCCAAATGCTGGCAAAGTTTTCTATGCTGTACATCTCTATGACTCTAAGTCCCACTCCAAGATCTTGAGCACAAAATCATAC